GCCCGGAGGGAAAGCGGGAAGGGCAGGGCCCCGCCAAGGAGAGGCTCCCCGGCTCCTTGGAGCCACACACCTCCCGGGCGCAGGCCGGCCGGGCCCCAGCAGTTTGCTCTGACGACACGCAGCAGGCTCAGCAAAGACGGGAGGGTGGGCAGAGGGCATGGGAGCACGACGCCCCCGTAAGGGTTCTCTGACCCTGCTGCAGGTGGCAGTGGGAGAGCCCCTTCTGAGGCCGTCGTGCACGAGGTATGAGGTGGAGCAGGCACGGGGCACCCCGCTGTCCTCGCTGTGTCCCCCACGTGGAGGCAGGCATGGGCAGGAGACATGCTCTGGTCGCTGTCAGGGCAGTGACCTCGCACTCTCAGGTAAGTCGAGCCCCCCTGTGCAGAGAAGGCCCGACTTTGCGGGCAATAGCTGACTCTGGTCTGGCCCAAAGACACAAGCTAAGCCAGGAACACCTCCTGAGGTGAAGGAAGCTACAAGAGGCTGGTGGGGCCGGCAGGTTCTGGAACCCGATCTGCCACGGATGGAAGAGCCTAACCATCAGGGAGGGAATGCGTCGCAAGGGGCCCATGAGCCACGTTTAAGTCTCTAAGTAACCAGTTGGGAAAGTCAGGGCAAGTCTCCCTATGTAGAAATGCTTCATGTCATGACTTCCTGACAACACGATAGCTGAGGATTTTTAGGATTTATTTTTTCCTGTAAGGCATGTACACTCACCGGAGAGACAGAGAGACAAAAAGTGAGAAATCACTTCTCAGGGAGGATAGCCACACGTGCCGCGCTGCAATCCCTTCTCTGTTCTCCTGGGACATCAGGCACTGACACACATGCACCCAAAACCTGAACTGTGGCCGGCCCTATGGGAGTCCAGTGACATAACTGCTACACCATCTGCTGGTTCCCCTAAGGAATTTTTAAAAAATAAATTGAGAGGACAGCAGGCAGAGTGGTGGTTCATGCACAACAGCAGTTCAAGTCCTGGATCTGACAGCTAGAGAAACCACGTGGGCAGTGGCACAGTGGTTAAGGTACTAGACCCCCACGTGGCTGACCACAGTTCAAGTCCAGGCCCTGGCGGGTTGCTTTCTCATTATCTCACTCTCCACCCTCTCTCTCTCACTCTGTCCCTCTCTGGTCAAATTAAAATATATTTAAAAAATAAATAAAGTTAAATAAAATAACTTTAAAAAAAACATGCCAGGGAACCAGCAGATGGTGTAATGGTTATGTCACTGGATTCCCACATGGCTGAACACAGTTTGAGTCCCGGATCTGGCAGCTTGAAACTCATACTGGGCATGTGCATGCGTGCCCAAAATCCCAAGAGGAGTAGAGAAAAAGGGACTGCAGAGTGGCCATCCATGCTGTGGAGCCATTTCTTGCATTGTGTCTCTGTTTCTCCAGCAAGCGCATGCTCTCTATAGCAAAAACCTATTAATAAACAAACAAACAACTGGGGGAAAAAACCTCAAACACCACCTCAAAGAATTTCAATAGTTCCATTGGCGGATTGAACCGGGGGCCAGAAGAGGATTTTCACGTACTGTCTCAACCAGTTTTCAATGGTTACCTTACAACAGTAATTTGCACCCGCCCGAGAAGCACTCCTGATAGGCAAACCTTCCTGAAGAATGACAAGGGAACACCCTCCGCCACCCAGAACTGGTAAGAGTAAAAAGCAAAACGAAACTGGAAGACATTGCAGGAAAGGTCAGCCTCGCCCTTACTGAAGACTAACCCAGGTTATAGAGGTACTCGTAGCTCGGCAGGTTGTAGCCCACGATGTAATGGGTCTTCCAGCCTCCGAAGAGAGGGAAGCGTGGCCGGACCTCCATCTCCACGGAGTCATCCAGAACCAGGAGGTGGCTGGTGGACACGTTGCCGATCTCGTCCCGGCAGTACACGTCCTGGGCCGCGGCAGGGAGGATGGTCTGTAAGAGAGCGGCCTCCTCAACTGGGGCTCCTCGGGGAGGCCCCAGCAGGTGGGCTGCTGCACAGGCCTGCCCGAGGCTGACAGCACCAACTGCGGCCGACCTAGAAGAGCCTCACTGCGGAAGCCAGCAGGTGGCGTGGTGGTTAAGGGCTGGACATCCCACATGGCTGACCACAGTTCAAGTCCCACACCTGGTGGCTGGCTTCTCACTACCCTGCCCCGTGGGTGTGTGTCCCTCTGTGTCAAATAAATTAATGAATAAGATTAAATAAGTGATTCTTTAAAAATAAATAATAAAAAAGCCTCACTTTCCCAACAAGGTCTCAAAATTTCTAAAGCCACACTTACTCGTCAATCAGTGCTGCGAGGCAGCCAATTCTCTCAACAGTAAGCGACTAAGAGAACTGGGAAAGGGCTGATAAATACTGAAGATTCAACACGACGTGGCACACGGCCAGCAGGTGGCATGGTGGTTAAAGGCACTGGATTCCACATGGCTGACCACAGTTCAAGTCCCACACCTGGCAGCTTGGATTCTCATTTTCCCTCTCTCTCTCTGTCTCTGCCTGGTCAAATTTTAAAAATAGTAACAACAAATGGAATTAAATAAACATTCTTTAAAAAAATAAGTTAACCTTGCACATAATTCTGCAGAGGGAGACGAAAGGTGGGAAATACGCCGAGTCACTAGGTGGGTGAGGATTTGGGGTCCTCTCTACCAACTCTTTCAGAGAAGAGACGTCCACTTGGCGAGGCCTTCCGCACAGTGAGTGTGCAGAGACGTCTGACACAAACAAGGCGTAAACTACACATGCGTGTAAGACTGTCTTTAAAACAACACTACAGGGGCCAGCAGATGGCATAACAGTTACGTCGCTGGACTCCCCCAAGTATACATGCCCTGTAACAAAAAAATCTAAGAAAAAAAAATCGGGGCAGCAGGTGGTGTGGTGGTTAAGGGCACTGAACTCCCACATGGGCAACCACAGTTCGAGTCCCAGACATGGCGGCTTGCTTTCTCACTCCCTCCCCCTTACTCTGTTACCCTCTCGTCAAATTAAAAATAAATAAATAAATAAATTATATTAAATAAAAACAATTCTTTAAAATAAAATTAAAAGTAGCAGAAGAGTCTGTGGGTTTCTAAGACTGGCATTCAACTACTCCAACAGCAGTCAATCCGAGACAGCTACTTTACTTAATGAGTTCCCAGAAGTGAGCAAGGGCAGGCGTGACAGACAGCTCTCGGGTGTCTGAGGTGAGCACGACATACCTTAAAAGAGCGGATGGAGGACACCCCACTATCCGGCTGTCTCTGGTAATCGTAGCGCGAGAAAGGCCCCTTGAGCACAGCCCCCGTGTGCTTCAAGTCCACATTCTCCTCCACAGCAATGTTGCCCCAGTGGGAGACCTCAATGACACGGGTCATGCTGGTGATGGTCAGGAAAGGGCTGTTGTTCTCATAGTGGACTCTAAACGTGTCCTGGGGAGGACAGAGACATGTAGGACGAAGCCTGGGCAGCAGAGGACTCAACCCTAGTTTACATCGAATCAACTGAGAACGTCTCATTAGCACAAGAGCAGCCGAAATGTGAGGCATCGCAGATACGCAGTGTTCACCGGGCGTTCGGCTCACACGTGGAGACGAGTTATCATCTGTGTTACTGGCTAGAAATGCAGGACATAAAAATTAGGCTCGAGGGAACCAGCAGGTGGCATGGTGGTTGAGGTGCTGGACACTCCCATATGGCCGACCATGGTTCAAGTCCTGGACCTGGTGGCTTGCTTTCTCACTTCCCCTCTCTCTCTGTGTGTGTGTCTCTCTCTGGTCAAGTTAAAAATAAATAAATGAATAAATAAAGTTTAAAAAAAAAAAACAATTAGGCTCAAATATGCTTTTTACATGGAAACACAAAACCTTCAACCCTCCATCCATTCTCCAGTAATGATGTCAGGAGGGAGAATAGACAGGGGCAGCAGGGGTGTGGGGCTACGGCAGCTGGATCCCACAGAGACAGCTCTGAGGCTTGGCCCCAGATCCAGAGGCTTGAAAATCACACCACCTGTGTGCGTGCATGTCTCGACTCCCAAGGAGAACAAAGAAGGGCATGCAGCATGCCATCCCACCCCACCACTACCACCGGGGCACTGGTTTCTCACTTTCCCTCTCACTCGCTCACTCTGTGTATTTATTTCCATCAAACACACAAGCCCTACGGGGGTAGGGGAGAACCAGAAATAAGTGAGACTCTTAACAGCTAAGAAACATAATTTACAGGTAATTCACTACTTTCTCCTAACAGTTTTTTTCCAAATATCTACAATCATTTTTTTTTTGGAGGTTTTTGCTGTAGGGCACATGCGCTCGCCAGAAAGACAGAAAGCGAGAAATCAACCCCAGGGGGGATGGCCACGCTGCAGTCCCTTCTCCTCCATTCTCCTCTCGGGATCTTGGGCACGCACGCACACACGCCCGGCGTGAGTTAAGCCACCACCAGGTCCTGGACTCAAACCATGGTCGACTACATGAGAGTCAAGTGACATATCCATTATGCCATCTGCTGGTCCCTACAATCATCTTTTTAAAATGCCTTTTAAATGACTTTACAGCCCTAAAATGAAATTTCAAATTGTAAATAAAGAAAAATCCAAACACTATGGGCCAGCAGGTGGCATGGTGGTGAAAGTGGCTGGATCCCACATGACTGGCTGCATGCTTTGAAAACATGCTGGCCTGTGTATGTGCATGCATGCTCAAAATCCCAAGAGAAGAGACTGAAGTGAGCCCATGCCCCCCATGGGGTGCCTTCTGTCTATCTAGGGCAGGCATATATATCCTATAGCAAAAAAGTAAATACATAAAACTTTTTTGCCAGGGTGCATGCACTCACTGGAGAGACAAGAGGGAAGGAAAGTGGTGGAAAATCACCCCACCCTGGGGGAGGCCACACCACAATTCCTTCTCCATTCTCTTCTTGGGATTTTGAGCATGTACACACGCACACATGCCCAGTTCAGGACTCGAACCGCTGGCAGTGTGGGAGTCCAGTGCCTTAACCACCATGCCACCTGCTGGCCCAAAAACTATTTCTTTTGGGAGAAAAAAAATACACATACGCATATACACATATACGTACGTACACATATATATAAACATATACATGCACACACAAACATTCTAATGAAGGGCCTGCTCACAGCACAATGGTGAAGCTGTGTGTGGAGGGTACAGCTCTCACATGGCTGACTAGTGGCCACCACACTGGATTAAAGTCCAGGCAGGGTCTGTGTGCGTTGAACCCCTTGCCTCTGGGTGGAGAAGAAAGGCCTGCGGTGGCCGGCCCACTGGGATGTGCCTCCTCTTGCACACGAGTGCCCCATTCAAGCCTCTGGGATTAGAAATACTTTCTTTAAAGATCGAGTGAAGACACAAGCTCTACCCAGTGAGCTGGAGAGTAAACCCAGAGGGGCTGGCAGGTGATGTGGTGGATGAGGAAAGGTGCAAAGAGTTCCAAAAGAACTTTTGTAAATTCTTGCTTCAAGGGACCAACAGGTGGTGTAATGGCTAAGTTGTCAACTGCAGTTCGAGTCCTGGACCTGGTGGTTTAAACTCACGCCGGGCGCATGTGCGTGCGTGTCCAAGATCCCAAGAGGAGAATGGAGGAGAAGAGATTGTGGCATGGCCAACCCCCCTGGGGGTGATTTCTCGCTTTCTGTCTCTCTGTCTCTGTCTGTCTGGTGAGTGCATGCACCCTACAGCAAAAACCTCTCCAAAAAAAAAAAAGTTTATCTTAGAAGTGATGTGGAAGGGAACCAGCAGTTAGTGTAATGGCTATGTCGCTGGACTCCCATGTAGTCGACTACGGTTCGCGTCCCGGACCCGGTGGCTTAAAACTCACGCCAGGTGCGTGTGCGTGTGTGCCCAAGATCCGGAGAGGGTGGCCATCCCCCCTGGGGGGTGATTTCTCGCTTTCTGTCTCTCTGTCTCTCTCTGTCTGTCGGGCGAGCACACACACCCTATAGCAAAAACCTTTAAAAAAAAAAATATATCCCAGCGTGAGTTTAAGCCACCGGGTCCGGAACTTGAACCACAGTTGCCCGCGTGTTAGTCCAGAGCCTTAACTAATATACCACTTTCTGGTCCAGTATAATTTCGATTGTTTTATATTTGCTAAGGATTGTCTTGTGACCTGTCATGAGATATGTTGTGGAGAACAATCCATACAGGCTTCGAAAGGGTGTATATTCTGCTGCCTGGATAGAATGATCTCTGTGTGTGTTAGCTCCACTCGGTCTACAGATCCACATGTTGTTTTCTTATTAATTCTGTCTAGTTGTTCTATCGCATATTTAAAGTAGGGAACTGAAGCCTCCAGCTATTATTTTATTGCTATTTCTCCCTTCAGTTCTGTCAAAGTCTGTTATATATAATTAGGTGCTCTGATACCAGGTGAGCATAAATTTAAAATTGTTATATTGTTAGTATGAATTGATCCTTTTATTGTCATATAATGCCTAAAAGAGGAGAAGAAGAAGTGATGTGGAAACAGGGAGGGCGAGGTGATCTGACTCGGCCTAAAATACTCGAGCAAAGAGAAAGAGTGCTGAGGCGGGCACGGTCCAGATAACCGCTGCCCACGTGGCGCTGGGAGTGTATCGCCGGCCTCTCCACTTCTGCGGACGTCTGACACAGCCATTAACTCCAAAACCAGGTGGAGCCTCTGAGACCTCGGCCTGTGGCCGGCACTGCTGCCCCCAGCAGCCCGGCTGGGCCTCCAGGCCCCCTCTTACTGCCTCTGCCCAGCACAGCAGTTTCTCCTGCCTGGCTGCCATCCAGCTCTCCAAGTGCCACCCCTAGCTTCTCTGGGTGCTCCAAGACGGAGACCCATGACTCCCATGGAACCCTCACCGTAGGCTAAACCTCTGCAGATGGGGCTGGCAGGAGGTGTGGTGGTTAAGGTGCTGGACTCCCACATGGCTGACCACCGTTTGAGTCCTGGACCTGGCAGCTTGCTTTCTCTCTCTCTCTCTCGTTCTCCCTCTGTCTTTCGCTGGTTAAATTAAAATAAATAAATAAAGTTAAATAAAATAATTATAAAAAAAAAAAAGGCACTGCAGATGGGGTCAGCAGATGGCACGGTGATTAAGAGCCCTGGACTCCCACATGGTCAACCATGGTTCAGGTCCTGGACCTGGAGGCTCACCTTCTCTCCCTCTCGCTCTGTCTTTCTCTGATCAAATTAAAATAAATAAGGTTAAATAAAATTATTTTTTAAGAAAGGTTTTTGCTATAGGGCACCTGGCATGAGTTCAAGCTGCCCATGGTAGACTACGTCAAAGTCCAGAGACATATCCATTATACCATCTGCTAGTCCCAAATTAAATAATTCTTCAAAAAAAAAAAAAAAAAAAAAAAACTCTGCAGATGAACTCAGCAGTGACTTCAGCTTCTGCCCACGCACACTCACCAAGCCCCCCAGTCAGCAGTTGCCCTGCCAGACCGCCTCTGAACAGACAGGACGGGCCAGGCCCCCCGAGCCCACCTGACTATAAGCAGGGATGTCTTTGAAAGGCCCATAATCCAGGAGGTCCTCAGAGCGTGTGGGGTTCCCCAGCTTGGTGTAGCTCTCCACATTGCGGGAGGCGAGCTTCACACGCATGGTCTGAGTCTTCGTCGGGTAGGGAGAGTAGAAGTAATGGTTCCCCTCAAACACCACAAACTGCTTCTCTGACTGGGTGATCTGGGTCGGATATGGCTGAAGCACATGGGTGTAGACTGTTTCCACAATGACGGAAATCTTGGTCCCAGGATCAAGAGCCGCTGGGAGCTTGACCGTGAAGAATCTCCCACTGGAGGAGGAAGAGGAAGAGAATCCAGAGATTGAGAAAACTGAACAGAAGCAGCAGCTCCAAGCCACAGCCAAACTGTCTGCACGACAGCAGCGGTCCCCTTTACGAGGTGTTCTCACCTGAGCCTCTCAGGACAGAGGCCCAGAGCTCACCACAAAGCTGCTGGTAACCGCCAAGGGTACAAGCCCTAACGCCCAGCAAGAGGGTAAGTCAGACATTCCAGTAGGGCCAGTCCATGGCACCATGACTAAGGCCGGATCCCACAGAGCTAGCTGTATGGTTCGAGTCCTAGACCCAGCAGCTTGAGACACACTAGGCACGGTGCCCGAGTGCCTGAGCCCTGAGAGGACACAGAACTGGCAGAGAAGAGGCTGCAACATGACCATGACCTACGGAAGGGTTTTCCCTCCTGAGCAAGCACATGCACCCTCTGGCAATTAAAAAGTAAAGAGTGTTCTGAAATAAGTTGACTAAGGATGGCCCATGCTAGCTTCCGAGGGTGGGCAGAGAACCAGGAAGCCCACCCACTCCTGCCTCAGAGTCAGTCTTCCCCAGAGGTCACTCTTTATTTTAATTTTAATTAATTTATTTTTTTTGGAGAGGTTTTTGCTATAGGGTGCATGTGCTCGCCAGAAAGACAGAGACAGAGAGACAGAAAGTGAGAAATCCCCCCCCGGTAGGATGGCCACGCCACAATCAATCCCTTCGCTCCTCTTGGGATCTTGGGCATGCATGCACATGTGCCCAGCGTGAGTTTAAGCCACCAGGTCAGGGACTCAAACTGCAGTCGACTACATGGGAGTCCAGCGACATAGCCATGACACTAACCCAGAGGTCACTCTTGATGGCCTGAAGGCACTGGCGCTGGGCCACCTGCTCGCTGCTGCCCAGGAAGGACAGCAGTACCAGCCATGGATGGGAGGGTGGCTGCTGAGGCGAACCGACTCTCACGGGTTCTGGAACCTGGCGTTCCCGGGGCTGGGCCCCTCGGGCTGGTGTGGAAGGGGACCGCAATGCTGTCTCGGGGTAGAACCAGCTGCTGCCAGTTCGGGGGTCTCTGCACCGATAACCAGCAGAGAAAGGTCAGACACTCTGGTGTATGTCTTGCTCCCACACACAACGTCACCAAGCCAGACGTCAACACACCAGGCCCTCCCGAGCCGCTCCGCCAGCTCGGGCTCGACCCACCTGCTCGCTCACCTTGTGCCCTTGACGTTGGTTTCTCGTACTTCGAGGTTGTTCTCTTCCTCATCTTCTCCCTTCACCTGTTAACAGAAAAAAGCCAGTTATTCTTTTCTTTTTGCCAGGCACAAGTGCCTGCCTGGCCGAGATCCCAAGAGGAGAGGAAGAGGAGGGATTATGTGGCCATGGGGGTGTGGGGGTGGTCTCTCACTTCCCTATCTCCCTGTCACAGCAAGCAAACCAACCTGCAGCAAAACCGACCAAAGCCAAAGGACGGGACCAGTGCTGCACGTGTGCACGAGCCGTGTCACCCTGTCTCCTCACAGGTACATTCACAGGAGGCTGTGCTCTGTGTGTCCACGGGCCGTGTCACCCTCTGTCTCCTCACAGGTACATTCACAGGAGGCTGTGCTGCATGTGTCACGAGCCGTGTCAATCTGTGTCTCCTCACAGGCACATTCACAGGAGGCTGTGCTCCGTGTGTCCACGAGCCGTGTCACCCTGTGTCTCGTCGTGGGCACATTCACAGGAAGCTATGCTGCACATGTCCACGAGCCGTGTCACCCTGTGTCTCGTGGTGGGCACATTCACAGGAGGCTGTGCTCCGCGTGGCCACGAGCTGTGTCACCCTGTGCCTCGTCACCACAGGGTCACCTCTGTAACATGGCCTGTGAACCAGCTCGCTGAGGGGGTGTGCTCGCCTGTCCTCACCCCCACCGTGACCCGGGACCCCCGGTGAGCACTGCGCCCGGAACAGCAGGGCAGAGCTGTCGGCATGCTCTGTGCTCCGCTCTGCACGTGCTCACACACCAGAACACCCAGCGGGCGCAGGGAAGAGGCGGGAGCGAGGGCCGGACTCCGCGTGGCAGCAAAGAGCGCTGACGCGGAACTTCGGGCGGACTGTGCCGGGTCTACACACCCCAAAGCAGTCACCAGCGACCTAGAGAACTCGCTTCGCTAAAGAGGATCTCGGCGTTCCGACTCGGGAGGGCTGGTCAGCCGTGTCCGCGCTCCGGCGGGGCCGCCGCGGGCTCCCCGTCA